TGGAAGACGTGGTAGTAGTTTTAGGAGATGACATCATGAAATGGAACCCCTGCCCAATTCGGCCCATAATTGAGTACAATAGGAAGAAACACATCTTAGCAGCGCAATTTCATAACAGAATAAAATATAACATTTAAAAAAGACGACACACCGTTTAAATTTGCAACACATGTTTCGGATACTCAGTACCTATCTTCAGTTAAAGTTTTACAAGTGGGTGGCTTTATATAAAGTAGGTAACAAGTAGGTGTAAATTACAAAATGTAGAATAATAGTACAAATCAGTGAAAAGGTTACATAATACTTAAGGGAAACAAAAAAGGTGTGGGCACAAATCTGTGAAAAATGCTGAATACAAATAGCAATTAAAGAAGGAGTGTTAAATTAACATGTTTGAGTTGTTTATTCAACGCGGATCTTTCCCATTCAATATGAAGGGCTTCTTTGATCTTTACATAGTTAAATTAGGTCGCTAAATATCATAGAAGCAAACAAACAGGCTAGGGTTTAGGTTGGAAGGCCTTTGACCCTGTACATCTTTTGTTTTATGCTCATTGACTATGCTTGAATTACGTAATTACGCAATTAGTTGTATGAGCACACGAACCCTGCTGCCAAAATGTCTAGTGGTTACGTTTCACCGACATAACAGGTATCACATCCTGCACATGAAAATTTGTAAACCACCTGGGAACGGAGCCACTGACTCCCAACCTGCCAGAATCTATGGCCTTCCCAAAATGCATAAGGCTCGTGTCCCTAGGTCTACCCTACTCTTTCGCCCCATACATCCTCGATTGTTACTTACAACTACAAGTTAGCTAAGGTTTTATGTTCCCTTTTGGTTCCATTCAGCCCACAACAATGCAGTGCACAGGATACTTTCCCTTTCGTCAATGAAATCATCAATATTTCTATTCATGGTAAATTTATGGTCTCCTACGATGTGGAAAGTTTATTCACCAACATACGTACCGCTCGGAGAACCTATGAAATTATTGCTGTTCGCTACCGCCGAGACCCACTTTTCATTTAACGGCAACTTTTATGATCAAACGGACGGTGTAGCTATGGGTTCTCCCATCGCACCCGTTCTTGCCAATCATTTTATAGGTCACCATGAGAAAGATTGGCTGCAAAAATTCAAGGGCGCTGAAATTCTTTTCTATCGCAGATATGTGGACGATACGTTTTGCTTATTTAACAACGATAATGATGCCTCACAATTTTTTGATTTTATCAACTCACAACATACTAACATCAAGTTCACTATGGAGAAAGAGGAGAACCATAAACTACCCTTTTTGGATGTACTCGTTGACAACAGTCACCCAATTTTCTAGTTGCATCAGTGTTTCGGAAGAAAACTTACATGGGGCTGCTCACCAATTTTTTCAGTTTTATACCCTTTTCTTACAAAATTGATCTCATTTGCACTTTAGTGGACAGGGCCTTCAAAATCTGCAACACTTGGAGCGGCTTTCACACCGCCATCCAACAGTTAACATCTATTCTTATGAAAAATTGTTTCCCAGGTAAAATTATACAAAGGGTAGTTGATCAATACCTTTATAAGGTTCACAACACCTCAGTCGATGCATCCCGGCAGGACCATTCTAAGGGAAAGACCAAACGGTTTTTCAAATTACCTTATACTGGCCCCTTTTCCCTTTTAGCGCAACGTAAAATCAAAATCATCGCTAAGAAATATTGGAAGGATTTAGACCTTAGGTTAACCTTCTCTTCCTATATTAAGTTAAGTAACATGTTCGGTGCGAAGGCCTCGATCCCCAATGCGCTCCGTTCCCAGGTGGTAAGAATCTATGCTCTTTTAATTGTTTTTGCATCTTAGACTCAGCTCTTACTAATTTCCAACTTAAGATCAAAGAAGCCCTTCATAATGAATGGGAGAGACCCGCGTTGAAAAAACAACTCAAAAATGTTAATTTAACACTCCTACTTTAATTACTATTTGTATTCAGCATTTTTTACAGATTTGTACCCGCGCTTTTAAGTATTATGTCACTTTTTCACTGATTTGTACTACTATTCTACATTTTGTAATTTACACCTACTTGTTACCTACTTTTTAGAAAGTCATGCACCCACTTGTAAACATCCTTTACCTGAAGATGGATACTGAGTATCCGAAACATGTGTTGCAAATTTAAACGGCATGTCGTCTTTTTTAAATGTTTGATTTCAATCTTTCTGCTACAAAAATTTGAGAATAAAATATACTTAATTTTTATTACTTAATCCTATCTGGGAAATATTAATTTTGTAGGCGACATGGAAGTTGCTTTTCCACGTTTGGATCGTGAATTTGTATTTACACTTTGAATAGACGCTGATTTCCCTTGGATATGATTACTATCAGCTTTAGATTTCTATATGGTTTACTAACTTAATAGACGGAACAAAACAACTCTGTTCGTTCAAACACAATAGAGTTTTCCACTGCTTCTTTGTTATTGCAAAATAATCTCCCTGGGGTCATTAACGCCTAAAATTATACAAATATTTTTCAAAGGCTACTTACAACTACTTACAAGCACTACTTTAACAACTTACAAGTCTCAGAACTCTAACTTGTCGAGTGATCATTACAAAGTCCTACGGTTTGTTCTTCCAATCCGGTCATGATCCGGTGCACTCAGAGCCTTTTCGATAATTCTGTTTACACTGGCTGCGAAGTCATTAGTCGTTTATTTCAATGTAACTTTGAGGTAGCATAGATAGTCTTATATCCCATAGTAAGCTCCTAATTCATCTTCTGAGCGTCCTCCAGCTGTTTTGGAAACCCGCACTTCTTCTTAATAGTCTGTTGAGTAGAAACTTTCGTTTATTCACCGCTACTTCAATAAACTTCCATAGCCTCTTTCCAGACGAAACCCTTCGTGTCCATTAATTGTTGCTTTGAGTCCATTATTTCTCTGAAGATGTGGTCTTTATAGAAATCGTGCATCCATGTTAAAAATTGTGACAAAACTTTCCTTAAAGGAGAAGGTCAGTTCAAAAAACGTATATTTTTTTCAATGCTAATAAAAACCTTGCGAGTTTAGCCACTCACCGAAGTCTCAGCCTCTAAAGTGCAGCCTTATGAAATTCGTCTCTGAAAGACGCCCATAATTCATGTCAATAAATTGTTGTTTTGTGTCCATTATTTCTCTAAAGATGTGGTCTTTCTTGAAATCCTGCATCCATCTTGAATATTCCCTGTTAAATATTCTACCGCGATCCATATAAACAATAATGGTCCAAATTGGGCAGGGGTTCCATTTCATGATGTCATCCCCTACCGCGTCATCCAATCTATTTTTAGTTTTTCGCCCCGATGATGTCATCTTCTGAAAAAGGAAATTACGTCACCCTTATATTTAGATAATGATGTCATTCTTCCAATGACACCCTTCACCCTCCGCCTTACCACCCCGATGTTGTCACTATTCTATTTTCAGATTATGATGCCATTCCCCAATGATGTCACTATTCTATTTTAGGTTATGACGTCATT